GAGAGAGAGAGAGAAAGAGACCTTAAGTTTTACCAAAAAATGGTACTTGCTATCTCATATGCAAAAGGACTTTTCAAAATTTACTATACAAACATTGGATCACCTGATACCAATGCTGCGGACCAGTCCTTTGGAAACTAGATCTTCCATTGCATGCCAGGTGGTTTCGAGAGAAATTGTGGTGTCTATATCCAACACGCCATCCTCACCTAAGGCACTGTCAGTTGTCCCCACTCCTAAATTATGCCAGAACGAAGAAAACATTGAGAATGGAAAACCCATCGAGAGCTACATAATACAGAGGTGAAAAACAAATCATGCATAGCATCCCCAGAATTATATTTATCAGTAATAAGATAGACCTTTTCTTTTATATGAATGAACTATGTTGAACCTTTTTGTAATAATATAGGCTCTTATTACAAAAAAAAGGAAAGAAAAAGAAAACTAATTAATTGAATTATGAAGAGTAACAATCTTTCTGTTAAGAAATAAGGGTACCCTTTCATTTTACAAGAACATGGCATACACACGTGTGTATTTGTGTAGAGCGAGAGAGAGAGAGAGATTAAACATCTCAAGATACAAGTAATTGCATAGGAATGCCAAACCTGTATGCCGTGTTGCTATAGGGAAGTGAACAAGGTACAAATCCAAATATTCCAGCTTAAGTTTCTTCAAGCTATCCTTACATGCTTCAAGAATATGCCCATGATCCGAATTCCATAGCTGCAGAGATAACACAATGGAAGTCTAGTTCTATATATATAATTAACGGACAATGAAAGAAACATATGCAGAAGGAAGAGAGAATATGCAGCTTTGGAGTTGATTAAGCATTAACTCACCTTGGTGGTAATAAACAAGTCTTCCCTTTTCACCAGGCCTGAGCGCAAGGCCTCCGAGAGAACTTCTCCAACTTCTGCTTCGTTTCCGTAATCAGCTGCAAACACAAATTGGTTCTTTCAATGATTGAAAAGAAAAGCTCAAGCAAGTCCCTCCAGTTACATTTAATCAAATTCCAACCAAAGTCACATGCACACATATGCAAGTTTTGGTCTCAGACAGTATCTAAAGTGTCAAGTTCTTCATTCAAAAAAGGGGAGATGGCGAGACATGCCTACACAGAAAAACTTCTCAAAGCACTTCTCCAAGCTTTCCTTGCTCACTCATTGTTGAGAGGTCCCAAGTTCAAGCTTCAAGAATTAAGTTCTGTATTGTTTTATATTTTCTTTTGAATATTATATAAACTATTTGCATATATTGTAAACATGCCCAGGAGTTTCACAGCAGTAAACGTCACTGCCTCTCTACAAGAGGTCCAGAATTTCAACTCGGAAATTACATTTATTGGCTTTTATTGACCCCCGTGTCAAGCGGTGTCAATGCATGTCAAAGTTTTGGCATGCATTGACATGCAACATGAGAGTGAGTGACATGCCTGGCTATCACTGATTCCAACATCAATAAAAGTATCAAGATAAAATGTGTATCAGAATTTCTAGTTAATGATAAAAAGAATTTTAATCTCGTTCCAACATCAATAAATATATCGAGATAAAACATGTAGCAGATTTTCTAGTTAATGATAAAAACAAATTAACTTTTGCCAATCCTCCAATCGATTCAGGCACCTTTAGATGGACCAATATACACTAGGAAAGAAGAGGCAGAAGCAGTGACTATTTTTCCTCTAACATCACTAGTTCCATGAACCCTCTATATTTTTTGGAAAATTATCATTCCTTTTGTCAAGCCATATTATGCTACATTTAATTTTTCATGTCATAGTCTTTTTTTTTTAATGTGTTAACATTTGTATTAAAGTAGTAAAAAATTACAAGGGAGAAGTAAAATTAAAGAGGCCGTGTCCAAAAAAGTGTCCAAAAAATGCTATACAGATTGAGTTGCTAAGCCCAAACAAAACAACAGCAGGAGTGAAGGGGGAAGGCACGTGCTCAAAACTGTGCTAAGTCGCTTCCCTTGTGCTCGGGTTTACAGCCGATTGGGAGGATTGAGAGGAATTGGCCTTCTCTCCAGGTGTGACTCCACAGAATTTGAATCGAATTGCTCATCAAGTCTCAAGGGACATGGTGTCCTACCTGAGGCCCAAGACAGCTTGAGAGATTCTAATCAATCTCAGTTTCTGAGAAGTGGATCAATTAAGGTGGAAGTCAGAGAGGGATAAGTGGCTAAAGCGTTTGATGTGGGTGGCCCAAAAGATGACGAAAGCCCGACAGATTCTAATCGATCTCAGTTTCAGCAAAGTGGACCAATTAAGGTGGAAGTCAGAGAGGGATAAGTGGCTAAAGTTATATGGCGCCCAAAAGATGACGAAAGCCCCAGAGATTCTAATCGATCTCAGTTTCATCAAAGTAGACCAATTAAGGTGGAAGTCAGAGAGGGATAAGTAGCTAAAGTGTTTGATGCGAGTGGCCCAAAAGATGACGAGGGATTTGGTCTTCTCAATCATGGCTACCGGGTTGGACCTTTAGCTGTGAAATATTCTGCTGTTCCTTTCATGCTAGATAACCCAGAGTATTGCAGCTACAGATAGGCTCTCCAGAGAATGCAGATTCCTAACCGCTGTATTATGTGCTTGGAGGAAGAAGAGGAGACCAATGCCCATCTCTTTCTCCATTGCAAACTGGCCTCCACCAGAAGCCAAGCTCTAGCCGTAAAGGATGGACCTGCACTGGGGATAAGAGTCCAAATGAGTTTGTCGGGCCCCAAAACGGGAGAAAGAGAGAGTGCAAGGTGGTGGAAAGGTTGAGGAACTGCTTCCATCAGGACTCCAACGTGGCACACGGGTTTCTAGCAAGCAGAAACAAGCTAGGATATTGCTCCTTTAAAGGTCCAGGACCCACCCAAGGGTCTAACCAAAAGAGGGTTATGTTCCCACTGCAAGGTCAAATTCTGATTTTGGATTTGAAGAGTTTGTAGGAGAGAAGAAGTGATTTCCATACCCCGGGGGAGTTATTGCGAGCTCTGTGCTCAGGGATCCAGGACAAATCCGAAGAGCGGTATGTGGAGTTGATGACATCCTGACATAGATGGTTGCTTTGAGTGGCCGGTCACCACCACCACTTCCTGGGGAGGGCAAGATTGTTATGCTTGAGTCTGCGAATTCCTAACCCCCCCAAGACTAACAAAAGCAGACCTTAGAACAAGAAATAAGGTGAAATTTCTTGTTTCCATCTCCCGACCGAAGGAAATTTCTCATAAGTTGTTCAAGGCGACACACCACAGATTCTGGCATGTGGAAAAGAGACATTTGGTATATCAAAATGTTCAAGAGAGTGGCTTTGATGAGAGTTATGAGCCCTGTCGAGGATAAAAATTTACCCTTCCAGCTTGCAAACCTACGATCGAACTTATCTATAATGTGACTCCATAGGTTGAGCTTGGGTTTGCCGAGGCAGAGAGGTAAAGCCAAATACAAAAAAGGAAGGTCTTCTGCTGTGCAGCCCCACCAAGATGCAAAGGTTCTTACTAGTGATGAATTCATGGCCACCCCAAACGTTTAGGTCTTGGCCATGTTGACCCTAAGGCCAGTTGTCATTTCGAAGCATTTCAAGAAAATGAGAAGGTAGCCCGACTATTGGGGGGAGGCATCACAAAAAAACAAGGTGTCATCAGCATATTGAAGGTTGGCTAATAATAGGGCTGAAGCGGCTCACCTTGAAGCCTTTGAGGAGTTCAGACTAGTACATTCAAGAAATGGACCTACTAAAAACCTCGCCCACTATGGCAAACAAGAATGGGGAGAGGGGTTCTCCTTGGAAGAATCCTCTAGTGAGAAGAATGGGCTTGACACACAACCTTTCATCCAAGTCTGCCGCCGTGCCCCAAAACCCATATGATTTAGAGTCTTATCGAGGATGCCCCAATCGACGTGATCGTAGCCATTCTACGAGCCCATCTTGATGATGATCCCCCCTAGGATTTTAGAAAGGTGCCTTGAATGAATGGCCTCGTGGGCAACAAAAGCACCGTCAAGGATTTGCCCATCCTTAACATGTGCACCCTGTGTTGGAGAAATGACCCATCCTAGAACCTCCTAGACACTGGAGGCAAGAACTTTGGAAAGGATTTTGTAGGAACTATTGTAAGGTGAGGCTAATGGGTCTCAAATCTTTGAATTTCTCTGCCCCTTCAATTTTAGGAATCAAGGCGATATAAGTCTTGTTCATGGCCCATGGACCCCTCTGTTATGAAACTCGTGGAAAAAGGCCATAATACCAGGCTTAACAGAGGCCCTTAAAGATTTAAATAGGGCAACTGGAAAACCATCTGGCCCGGTCGCCTGGGGCCCAGACTTGGCCAAGCTCAGAGATGGCCTTGAGAATTTCACCTTCCTAGAATGGACGGTCAAGCCATGCTGCTGATTGTGGGGTAATGGTTAGGAAAGACAAATCCGCTATCCTCGGCTTGGGCCAGAGGAGGCTTGGAAAAGATTCTGGAAGTAGTCAAGGATCACACTTTCTATCTGAGGGGTTTGCTCTAGAACTTGATTTCCGATCTTAATCTGGGTTATAATGTTGTCACGCCTTCTGCAATTGGCGATTTTATGGAATAAAAGTAGTATTTTAATCCACTTGACACGGGACCGTTGGGCCCAATAGACTTGCTCCTTCCAGAGGAGATTATGGAAGTTTAGTTTTGCTTGTGATCAAGCTGCCCTTTCAACAGAGTAGAGGCTTCGGTGCTCTTCAGTGGAATTCAACTGCTGGATGGTGAGGAGGATGGCCTCTTTTTGGTTGCAAAAGCCGCCTGGTAATTGGGAACTCCAGGTTCTAACTGCCGCTTTGAGAAGTTGGAGCTTTCTTTGAAGGTGGAAACCTGCCCATCCATGGACTTGATTGGGAAATGAGGACAACCACTCTTGAATGAGATTGGGGAGATCGTGTTCCTCCATCCAGGCCATTTCAAATCTAAAGGGCTTTGAGACTCAAGAAACTGGGGAAGTATCTAACAAAATGGGGTAGTGGTCAGATGTAGGCTTTGGGAGGGCTAGGGAATGGGAATCAGGGAAGGTAGTATCCCATTCTAGGGAGATAAGGTATCTATCCAATTTGGATAGGGAAGCATTTGATGAGTGGTCCGACTAGGTGAAAGAGGCCCTTGGACAGAGATATCCATGAGGTCTAAGCGAATCAAGAAGTCTGAGAAGTTCAACATAGATTGGGAGATTGAGGTATTAGAATTTCTTTCGAATAACCATTGCGTTATGTTACAGTCCCCACCTATGCACCAGGTATGGGAAGGGCTCTTCCTATCCTCTCTAATTCATTCCACAAATCCGGTCTGAGGCCAGGTGAGTTGGGTCCATAAACAGCAGTGAACTTCCATGGGAAGTCATCGGTTTCCGATGGATGAGGAGGTAAAAGGGCGTGAGCAGTGGATCCCATATCACACAGATTCCTCCAGAGGCCCCCAAGAGTTTCAAGTGCCACCCATTGGCATGGTCGGGACCCCAGACTTGGCGAATGAGTTGGAGGGTTGGGGATGGGAGTTTCGTTTCTGTAAGTGCAAGGACAAGCGACGAGTGAATGGAGCAAAAATTAAGGACATTCCTACATTTGCGGGGTTCAACGAGACCCCTTATGTTCCACATCAAAAGTTTCATAGAGAGTGAGGGCAAGAGGAGGTAGCATGTCTTGAGGACCGCCTGCCTGTTAGCTGAGTAGAATGAGTTGCCCTAATTGAGGTCTCGGGTTGCTTGTCTTAGTTAACACCAAAAGGCAGGTTGGCAAGTTCTCTCTTGCCCTTAGAGGATGTTTTGGGTAGCCGTTCAAGTTCTCTCTTGCCTTTAGAGGATGTTTTCAAGTCATAGTCTAGATAGTTTCTCAAATAAACTAGAGAGTAAGCATCAATCTCTGAAAAAGTGGAGCACAACAAGAGAGACTTGAGAAAAGCTTCAAACTGTGGTCCATCCAACTCAAGAACATAAAGAGTTATTTCTTACAAGTGTACTGAAGCACAAAAATCAAGATGGGAGTGTTCCCCCTGTGAGCATACTAACTTTATACTCTTCCATAAATATCAGGGAAACTAATGAAACTGGATTTAAAGTTCTAAGGGATTAAATAGCAAGCCATCTCAATATCTTTTACCAATACATGGATATAAACTCGAAAGGGTCCATGTCTTATACAACAATACAATAATTAAAACTTGCTATCTTATATTTTAGGTAAGTTTAGTGCTTGACTAGAAAAATCTAGGCATTATTACCAATTCAAGTGATTATGCATGTGATGCACATGAAGTTCATATCAAATTGAAGGTAATTCTCTTGAATTCACCTTAAGAAATTTTCCATGGATTATAATGTATTGATGTACTCAGAGCCATTAAGTGATACATTCCATTTTCTATTCTTTCAGAGAACTGGCTCTCTAGTATGATGGCACCAACCATTAAAGAAACAATTCCTTTTTTGTTCTCATTAGCTGAAGAATTTGTTGTGCTCTCTCCCATACCACCAAGCCAAAAAGCCAAGCCCGATTAGATGGGTGCTTACTTGTAAATGTATTGCAATTTCAAGATACCAAATAATAAAAGCAACCATATTAACAAAGTGGTAATTAGAATATCATATGAAGAAAATCAGAAAATGCAGCTGAAAGTCCTCTAAGAAACTCAGTTGCAAATATTTCATAATCACTGTGATAGTGCCCAAATAATCCATTTGTAGCCATCATGATAAAAAACAGTAGCCAATCATGAAAATGAATAAAACACAGGCAAAAATGAAAGCCCATTTTTAGAATTTGGGATGTATGCTATTATCAAGCATAAAACATCAGTTATATTCTGAAACCATAAACTGCTTCTACTTCCACCGCTACTATGACGACTGAGACCCAGTAACAAAATATGGGTTACAATGACGACTGAGACCCAGTAACAAAATATGGGTTGATCTTGGTTTCAAATTCGAAAATAAACTCTATTGTTTAAATGGATAAATTGGGTGACAAACAAGTGATCTTAAAATCCGAAAAAAAACAAAAATAGAAAATAGGTTTAAGAGTCTAAGCACACCGGCACAGTCGAAATGACGATAACCCAACTTGATGGCATTAAGCAGCAGGTCTCTGATCAAGTTTTTCTCCATCCTCCAAACTCCAAGACCAATAATTGGCATCTTAAACCCATTGTTGAGAGTTATCGCCATGGTTTCTGAACACCCAAGCTCCTCTCTCACTCTGTCTCTAAATAAGCAGATGGGGATTGTTCAAGGTGCAAACCTATTTATACTTGAGAGTATAGCGTGATACTAGGGATTACACACGGATCATATAAAACGGCCGACGGAGATGGCTTAGAAGGGGACCCATTTCTTTTCTCATCACAATGCAGGGTGATGGATGTGAGTTCAAATTACTGAAACCGAGTCAATGATACTCTTATAACTACCTGATTTCGGATCTGATGGATTTGAGACTGAGTCAATGATACCAAAAAGTAAGGAAAGTGGTTTGACAGGTACACAACCCCATCAAAATAACTAAAGCATCACTCTAACTCATTTAAACTAGCAATTCAAGTTCTGGAAAATGTTTGCATTGATCATCTTGGTACGAACATTATGATTATAAAAAAAAAAGGGGGATTTCAAGCGTTAAAAATAGTGTATAAGGTAACAAATTATCTAAATCATTCATTTTACCCTACAAATAAGTGTTTTACAAATTCACAAGTTTTTTTGAGTTTCAAATTTTATTGTGAATGTTGGAAATTGATTTTAGAGCCATGTCATAGATTTTTGTTGACAAAAGTGCTTTCTGTTTATTTTATTTTCACAAAGACTATGCCCTATAGAAAGTTCACCCATAAATAAATGGTATATTTGTATACTTTCCTATTGTAACACTTCCTTTCTATTCCATATGTGCCGTCCTTGAAGTTATGCATTGCTCATGAGAGTGTATATTTTGGCTGTCCATTTGAATGAAGATCTTATGAGCTCATGTTGGAGATCATGCAGGATAATTTGGCTTTCTTTAATGGAAAAAAACTACCATACTTCCCCACTTATATATATATATATATATATATATAGAATAGAGAGGGTTACGGTTTTACGAAGGATGACTAAACTTTAAACAACTACCTAATTAAAGTAGCCTAAACCTTTAAAATTTTTAGTTTAATTTAATTTTAGTTAATTA